GCTTTTGAAGCTTCCTTTGAAGTTCTGGCTTCAAAGGTCGTCTGCATTTTAAGGTTTGTGATTCGAGGCGGCGGTGGCACAACGTGCTTCAAGGACAAGAAAAGGCTCTGGTTCTCAGGTTCGCAGTCGTCGCCCCGTTCAAACTTTCAGAAGTCATTGCAACGACCAGCTAAGCCAAATCTTAGGCTGCCAAAAAACTCATGCTACATGCTCAGATACGCAACACGACGTGGTCTGTGACCATAATTTTCAGGTCACGCTTCGTACTTTAGTCGATGATTTCTGTTGATGTACAAAACGGGAGAGGTCTTGGAACAACGTAAATCCGACCGTGAATCTGCAAGAAAGTAAATAACACAAGATGTATCATGGTTCACCCCAATGTTTGTGCTACGTCCACACTGATATTGTATTTCTCTGAGAGGATTGAGGATGAGAGGGTGAGAGAGCTTCCTTATGTGAGGATGAGCATCTCTGAATATGAGAGGGGATGTGAGGCTCTGAGAGGGTGAGGGTATGGCCTAAGAATTGGCCTTCCCCAATGAGGAGAGTGAGGAGTCCTTTTATAAAATAAGGGCTCCTCACTTATTACATATTTGCCCATTCATTTATTACATAATTACATTTGAGTCCTTTGAGTATTTATACGAGGTCTAAATAAAGAGGCCCTAAGTATGATATAAACAGTAGTCCCCTAAGTCTTCAGTCAAGAGAGTCTTTTGGTTGGAGACTTGAAATTCAGTCCATGTGTGAGCCGGAGTAACTAGATGTCGTCTAGAACTGATACTCGATATGAGGCGGTGTCTAATATGAAATGATGCTCAACTAAAAGTAGCACATGTTGCGAGACTGCTTTGCTTGTGGCTTATGTTGTCTTGGTTGGCTCGGCTTATGGCGTTTGAAGGTGAGGGAGTCCCTTTTATAGAATAAGGGCTCGCTCCTCAATACATAAATATGGGCTAGAGCTGATGCTCGTGGCGAGGCGGTTGCTCAGTAGGCTGCGATGCTCTTTAATGATGGTGAGGGAGTCCTTTTTATAAAATAAGAGCTTGCTTTTCAATACATGAATAATAGGTTAGGAGTGATGTCGCGGCGAAGCGGTTGCTCAGCAGGCGGCGATGCTCTCTAATGATGGTGAGGGAGTCCCTTTTATAAACTAAGGGCTCGCTCCTCAATACATAAGTGATGGGTTAAGAGTGATGCTCGCGGCGAGGCGGTTGCTCAGCAGGCGACGATGCTCTCTAATGAAGGTGAGGGAGTCCCTTTTAAAAAATAAGGGATGCTTCTCAATACATGAATAATGGGTGCTCTCTAATGAAAGTGAGGGAGTCCCTTTTATAGAGTAAGGCCTCGTTCCTCAATACATAAATAATGGGCTAAGTCCCCCAAGTATTTTTCATAAGGCCCAGTTGAGGCCCAATATATGGTACATAATGTAGTCCCCCAAGTCTTCGGTCAATAGAGGCTGTTGGCTGGAGACTTCAAATTCAATCCATGTATGGGCCGAAATGGCGGTCGTTCGAAGGTGGTCTTAGTAGACCATGCACTGAAGCTTTGTAGGCGAAGCTTTGCAATTTGAAGCTTTGAAGCTAGAGCTCTGTAAATGAAGCTTTTGAAGCTACAGCTCTGTAAATGAAGCTTTCGAAGCTGGAGCTTTTGTAAATGAAGCTTTTGAAGCTAGAGCTCTGTAAATGAAGCTTTTGAAGCTGATTGACATGAGTGATGCTCATGAATGTTTATGTTGATTGACAAAAGTGATGCTCATGAATGTTGACATAAATAATGGTCATGAATGTTAATGTATGATTGACATGAGTGATGCTCATGAAATGTTTATGTATGATTGACATGAGTAATGCTCATGTATAATTTTGGAGTACTGGGCGTACTTTTGATCACCTTGTTGGTGATAATAGTGGCAGGGTGCCGAATAATTTTGGAGTACTAGACGTACTTTTGATCACCTGGTTGGTGATAGTAGTGGCAGGATGCCGAATAATTTTGGAGTACTAGACGTACTTTTGATCACCTGGTTGGTGATAATAGAGGGCTTGGCTCTTTTGGGCATATGGGCCTTCGCCCTCCACCTAACATTCCAACCCATTATTTTGGGCTTTGCCATTTTTTTTACTACCCTCTGATGGGGTTTATACAGATGTCTGCAAAAGATAAGAAAAGTAAATTACATTATTATAAAAAAAAAGCTTTCGACACGAAAACTTCGACAGTTGCAGATCGTTGGTGCGTTGCTTTTGCTTTTGCTTTTGTTTTCTGCTTTGATTTTTGCTTTTGTTTTCTGCTTTGCTTTTTGCTTTCGTTTTTTGCTTTGCTTTTGCTTACTTCTTTTCTCTTTCTGCTTTGCTTTCTCTTTCATTTTTCTCTTCTTCCTTTTGGCATATGGCAGACAACACAAAGGAGAATAATAATAGAAATATTGTAAGAAAACGTATCTTCTTCCTGTTTTCCACCACACCTCTGTCTCTGTCTCTGTCTCTGTGCTTTCAGTCTTCACAAAACTGAATCTGGCACCAAAGTAGAAAGCCACCGAAAGCAACCATGCGTCGTTGTGCACAACAACCCGAGACCACCAGTCCCTTTCTTACATTCCATCTCGAGCAAAGTTGATGCCCAAAGCAGGTTTCGGGAGCTCTGGAGGAACTTCTTCAGCAAGTAGATTAACCTCCCATTCTTTATTCGGGAATCCATACAAACAAAGATTCTCCTTTTCAGGATCGCATTGCTAGTAAAAACGTTCAACATCAGTGGTAAGAGCTTTGATCAAACACAAGTTTAGGCATAGCTTTGATCCCCCGAGTACATGCTCACACTTAAGCCATTTCCGGGGTCTTTTGACCCACAGCTGTGACACTGTGTATGTTTCAGGCACACATAAGGTCCAGGAAAAACATTCTTGTGTGAAAGATGTTGGCAGTAACAATGGTAGGCGCCATCACACCTTTTGCAGAACATAAGTTTGTTTAGATCTCCAACTCTTCGGCATACCTCACAAATTCGGCACAGGGGGCATGTCCATGAACTCCAGTGAAATAGATCTCTATGTTGAGACCAAACCTTTACGCAGTTCCTGTGGTAGTTTTTGCCACAAGTTTTGCATGGAAGCTCTTGCTCTCTCACTTCCTTCATTTTCACCACAAAAGCATATCCGGCACATAACGTTCACATTGGACTAAGCCTGCTCTTCAACCACAACGCCTCTTGAGATGTCCGACAAATAACCAGACTCGAATCGCCGAGCAAAATCCTCAGCCGCCACCATATCCACTGCAGCCTTGCGCTGGAGCGCGGCACGTTTGGCCTGAGAAGAGGCGGCGGCGACAATCGACTCATCGTCAACAATGGCAGTGGCGTAACCATCTCCGACGGCAGAAGACATAACCGGCTGGGGAAACAGCGGAGGCAGTGGGGCGACCTGGACCGTTTTACCATCGTGGTGAGCCCTAATTCCGGAAGGATCGATGAGAAAGTCGTGAACTCGAAGCACATCTTCGAGGAATGAGTTCTTGGCATTCCCGGTGGCGAGGGTTCGCGGCGAGGCTCTAACGCACAGTTGCAGATTCGCTGGCTTTGCACTTCCACTGACGCATCAACATCTTTCTTAGAAATTCCATAAGGCATCTTGACCACGTTGACTGTGGTTCAACCTACTGACGGGGACGCTACTCCCCCTCACGGCATCTTGACCATGGAGACCGCCATGAACCCACAAATTGTTCCCTTCTGCGCTTGTCACGGTCATTCGCCTCATAGTCAGTCATCGTAAACTCGCAATCGTCGTCCTATTTGCTGCGTGGGGGTGCGCCAGACAAAGAAGACGGGGGTGCGCAGGACAAGGAGACGGATGAAGAATGTTTCAAAGGTTAAAACCCGGAAACCCAAAATCTCTGCTTGGAGCTAAGGCTCAAAGAAACTTTAGAGATAGCACAAAAAGGACTGAAAATGTAAGCAAAACTCACAAATCCTAGATCTCAAAGTGTTCCAGCTGGTAGAGAGTTCTTGGAATGGCAGAGAAATAGTGGGCTTTAACAGAAGTTGAAATGGAACACGAAAATCGAGGGAGAGAAAGATAGATGTGTTTAATGGAGGTGTTTTGACGGAAAACTAGAAGAAACTGGGGTTGAATTGTATTTGATAGTACTGGAAGTTGTTTTTGGGTTGTGCAGATTTACGGTGGTGAGATGAAAAAAATGAAAGAGAACTGACATGATTTTTTGTGTCGATTCCCATAGACGGCGCCAAATGTTGATGCACAAAACCGGAGGGGTCTTGGAACAACGTAAATCCGACCGTGAATCTGCAAGAAAGTAAATAACACAAGATGTATCGTGGTTCACCTCAATGTTTAGGCTACGTCCATACTGATATTGTATTTCTCTGAAAGGATTGAGGATGAGAGGGTGAGAGAGCTTCCTTATGTGAGGATGAGCTTCTTTGAATATGAGAGGGGATGTGAGGCTCTGAGAGGGTGAGGGTATGGCCTAAGAATTGGCCTCCCCCAATGAGGAGAGTGAGAAATCCTTTTATAGAATATGGGCTCCTCGCTTATTACATATTTGCCCATTCTTTTATTATATAATTACATTTGAGTCCCTCCAAGTATTTATACGAGGTCTAAATATGAAGGCCCTAAGTATGGTATAAACAATTTCAATACGCAATATTTACTGTACTCGTTTCTAGCTTACTGCCCCCTCTCAGCGACACTAGAACATTTGATGCTGTTCTTTTATGATACCAGGAACTATGTGTTTACGGGCAAACAAAATCTCTCATTCCGTAGCTTAAGAATCGACACAAACAACCGCAACTTGGGTTAAACTTTGAATATATTCTTTCATAGAGAAGTACAGTTTACAATTCAGAACGGTGAGAGAACGAACAAATTGAAAAATACGTAATATTCATATATTACTTTCCTGAGCATATGTACAATTGAGAATGAATTACAGCTTTGAACCCAGATACCACAAAGAAAAGAAAATTCAAACCTCAACCAAATCATCATCGTCTTCATCTGTCCCGTCGTCCCAGTCCAACTCGAATTTACTAGCTGATTTCATCAACTCTGTCAGTCCAGTTAGGTCCTCCAGATATGTAGGATGGTTGATTGCTTGCAAAATAAATTCCATTCCCCTTTTCCGATATTCGGACACCACCTGAAATAATTCATTTGCAGTGAATAAGGAACACAGAATCTGGCAAAATATCATGAACGCAACAGAGAAAGTCTCCAAGCAAGGCAAAACTTACAGTGCTGCAACAAGCCGTGCAACTGTCTGAGGAGTGGCCCACAAGTGTCATCTGCGAAAACTGTGCTAGGGAACCGCGAATCTGATGGGGTAAAATACCAAGAGGCTGCTCACTGCTTCTGCTATTACTGCAGTTTACCACCTCCCCTTCCGCAAATATCCTGAACACGAGCAGTTTAATATCAAAATTCCAGTTGAACCGTTTAAAAAACCAAAGGTGGAATTTCTATTGAGCTCAAGACACAAGTGAAAATATTTGAAAAACGCAGAAAGCTAATACATATTTAGTAATTTTCAAAAATTTCCAAGATTTTACCCATGAGGGTGATGCAGGATCCCCACTAAGAGCTCAACCGCAAGAGCTGAGGCAATAGGAGCAAGGCCTGGGCGTGTAACAGTGCATTGCTGGTCCAATGTGCGGTTTGAAGTTGACTGCACATAGAACAAAAGGCTTATACTTATGGCTGTATTCAACGTACATGGAAGAACACTTAAAATATATGTATTACATTCTAGAAACTTACATCAATAGGCGCAACGACATCATTGCAGAAGTAACAGCCCAATCTCTTCCCCCCGTCTCTATCAGTAAGGCCAAGATTGCCCATATAAGCAGATAAAGCATTTTCAGCTTCAGTTTTTGAGTCATGGCTAGAGCTACAAGGACCTGCTCCATGGCGCATAACCAAGAAGCTATCAAACCCTAAAGCCGCAGTTATAGTAATCTGCAAACAAGTAAATACTAATGATTTATTATTCGATAATATGTATGTCAATTTGTTACGATAGTTATTTCAAATATCCAATATTTTTGAATCAGGTAACTAGATCTTCGTAATGTAGACGTGAGTCAAAGCTATATATGAGAATATAGGGCCACATTATAACGCAGTGCAAGTCTGCAAGATCCTGAAAGCTTAAGTCAACCAACCTTGTTAGTATTTGCACAAAGGAGAGATGGTAGCCACCGACTTTCTCTTGTATCAGTCAGCAGGAAAACTACATCATGACAATCAATTAAATCATGTAGTCGTCCACAATCATCGAGCACGCTCTGCTCTTCTTGACTCGGAACAGGATGTCCAGGCATAGGTATAGCCATGATGACACCCTCTGCTTCCTGGTAAAGAATAAAGAGATGGACAGGCAATATAAGAAAATCAACAAATTTTTGTTTCAATCCATGTATTTTAGAGGACAAAGAGATGAAATTAATTACCACAGCTGGAAATATTTTCTTGAGACTATTAACTGCAGCTGTCACTTTAAATTCACCGCCATTTAGGCAGTCATCTAATGTATACAGTGATTGCCTCAGCGGATTAGACATAGCCACCCTGCCATTGTCAACCAACGTAATGGTCCGGACACCCCAAGCCTGTAAAACATGTACCCTTTAGTCACCCAATAGATACATAATAGAACTACAAATTAATTTGTATTTTTGGAACACTCACCATAAGCGTCCGAGCAACCTGGCATCCAAGTGTACCAGCTCCAAGGAGGAGACACTTGAGAGAAGACAAGCTATTTAAGTTCAAAGAAGGCAAAGCACGCCATCTCATTAGTTTCAAATTCAAATCTGCAGCAGATATGGCCAACCTGTAAAAGTTATAAAAAGACACTAAGATAACAATGGACTAGTAACGTCATCGACCATAGAGTACCAATAGAGACAACATACCTAGTTGGATCCATAGATTTAGCAAGGCTAATAATCCTGGGTACTTTTCTCCCTTTGTTAAGTTCCCACCCGACTGCATTTGGTACATGACCATGATCTCTCCATCCTAAAAACACAATAAAACTTAAGTTAGAGTACCTACAGATACAAGCATATTCAAACTGTAGAAGGGAGAAATGTAATCATAACCGAGCAGTTACCCAATTTCTGCAGCACTACCTGGCGGAACTGTAATCAGAGCTTCACCAACAAGGGACAGTCCCAGATCTGCGAAACCCCGACTCTCTCTATAGCATAAAAAGTGAACAGACTTTAGATCCCATCTTGAGCAAATAAGAGCAAGGAGGTTGCGAAGAGGCCAACCGGGATGGTTTGGGAGATGGCATGGATCGTAAAAACCAAAGAGTAACTGTAATGGCACAAAAAGTAACTTTAAGAGAGTTGAACCCAGAAATATCTAAAAAATTATTCCAGTTTCCCGGACACCTAAATGAGTAGCTATAGTTTGAATCAAAAGTTAAGCGAACAGACCTTGTGACCATCATCAGCACTTTGGGAGGTTTCCCAATCCTTTAGATGCTTAATAGTAGCGTGTGAATTTGAATCAAGATGAACCAAGAAGAATGGCACGTCTGAATCGGACAATATAGGTTAGAAGAAACATTCAAAATTTACATCCGAGCATATGAGAACATAAGGAGAAGTTTCTGCAGACAATTGAAAAAATAGAAAATGAGACATATGTATACCTGCTGTTAGGCTTGAGTTACGCCACTCGTTAAATGCTGCTGAAACAGATTCTGCCTAAAGATATAACAATAGTATTAGAGTTTATATAAGTAACATCTAAATACCTTTCTACAGTGCCTAGAATAAAAAACACATCTGACATACCTCCTCCGAGCTAAAACACTGTGAAGCTGGCCTCAAATTTACCAAAGTTGCTGGAGGATCAAGCACCAAAGCGGGGAAAGCAAACCAGTAATTAAAGCTCCATTTTTTCAGGTCGGCAAAAGAGATGACGAGGAACCTCAAAAGTACTGAACTATCCTCCAATGCTCTTCCACTCTGGATGTCCTTCCAAATCTGATTACGAACAAGAAGCAGACATGTTAAGCAACATTTAAATTCATTGTTAGTCAACCCTACCAATCCGCCTACATGATATTTCAACCGAATACTATATTTTACTGTCACTCACAGATGTAATACATTCTCAACACATTCAATACCTTTTGTGCTTCTGCCTTAAGCAAGCCTTGTTTATCAAGCGCATGAAAGCCTTCTACCGTATTAGTGTTGTAAATGATTCCCGGAACGGAGCATCTGTTCCTATTTCCCCGACTTACTCCTGTTACCGATGATTCCTCACTCGAATCCGAAGGCAAAGACTCAGCTAAAAGAGTTAAATGATTTGACACTTGAGAATGCGAGCACGGTGCGTAGAAACCTGCAACAGTGTCAGTCCACATCTCAGATTACACGAAGCCGTTGCACTTAAGTCACACATAAATTCGCATTCAAATCAAAGAATTAAACAACATTGTATAGCACTAGCATTCATCACAAAAATCAAATCTTTGTCGTCCCAAATAATCGGAATTTGAAACCCAACTTACACATCTTGCTGCTTTTTCCTCCTCCAAATTTTGCGCAGCAAAATAGCAAAAACAACAATTCCACATCCAAAAAGTCTTTTTTTTTTTTCTCATAATCCACAACTAAAATAATAATTCAACAAAAGTACAAGAATCTCCAAAACCCACGATCCAAAAGGCTGAAATCTTCTATCTTTTTTATTTCCCAGAAAGTGCACCATCTATTTACAGAAATTAAACAAAACAAAAAACGAACCGGTGATGGGAACAGGCGAGTCGTCGATGCCGAACTTGTTGAGCTTCAAGGAAGAGAGTCTGTGCCAGAAACCCTCGTCGACGGAGCTCTGAAACGGTGCGAATTGGAGTATGGATTTCCCGCTGCCTCGCTCCATGATTTTTCTGCTGCAATTAGCTGCGAGCTTGCCCTCTTCTTTTTCTTTGGGGGGGGTAAGATTTCGTAATATTGAAGAGTACAAAGCGTAAAAGTATATAGATTGTTTGTCAGAAAGAGTGAAGAGATCAAGTTCGAATATAACAAGAAGAAGAAGAAGAGGACACCTCGTTGTGTTGGTTTGGAGTTCCTTCTCTCCACGGTTTAGATTCCCTCCTTTTCCCGCATATTCTGCTTTTACAGGAAGTGGCCAATGACATCTCGCCAACACAGCACTTGGTGGACCCACCGACTGACAAGGCCTAGGTATTATTTTGTTCTGGTTAGTTTATCCATGTTTGATTGCTTCTTTCTTCTGAATTTAATACTTGAACTTTGAATTTTGTTTCAATTTAGTACACAAACTTTTGGTTGTACCAATTTAGTATATCAATTAATTTTTTGTCTAAATTTCCGTTAAAATGTTTCAGAGAAATTGGTAAGAATAAGGAACTTTAAAGAAAAGCTCACAGTACTGTTTACTTTAACGAAAAATCATATTTTTATACTAAAAAGTCAATCCTAATATTATTCACTTTACCTTTTATTTTGTCAAAACTCAAAGTTTTCAAACTTTTTTCATTAATTTTCCTTAAGAATAATTCATCAATTTTAACTCAATTGGGGCAATGGCATCTCAACTAAAAATCTATGATCATTGGTCTCTTAACTCATCAAAACGTGCAGCTATGATCATTTTCATCAACTCCTTTAAAACTTTCGTCAAAATGAGTCACATGAGGTTGAATCAAAGGGAAAATATGGGAAACTAAATGAGAAAATTATAGAAATGATCCCTCAACTTTAACCAAATTGGACCAAGGGTTTTAATTTTAACCCAATTGTTGCAAAAATTCTTCCAACATGACTCATTTTGACAGAGTTGATGAAAATGAACATATCTGCAAGTTTTGATAAGTTAAAGGACCAATGATCATAATTTTTAGTCGAGAGACTATTGCTACAATTGTCTGAATGTTTAACAAATAAGGTTAAAATAGTAGTCTAATTTTATGTATGAAATCACACATACATACAATTTATATTACAATCCAAGGAGCTTTGTCTTTCCTCCGTATTCCTTACGGATTAAATGAGGTTTTACATTTACAATGTGTACATGTAGATATCTCAAATAATTGATATATCCACGCATCCATGTCCGAAAATACAAATACAAACTCCATATTTGAAATTACAAATGCACATTCTTGATCTTCTTCATCACCAAGACATACAAATCTTGCTCTCACGAGGATGAGCTCGAGGTATCGATTTTATCGAAGTAAGAGAGCCTTCGCCTTTTGCTCGGCAGCGTTGTTCTTGGCGAGTATTCTGGTGAGGCCGATGCTTTATCGAGGATGGAACTCAGGACCTGGTGAACCGAACTTGCAAGAAGTTCGTATGCTTCAGCATCAGAATCATTGCTTCCCGGTTTGGAGCTGGTGAGAACGAATACATTTTTCACTCGGTTTCCCAAGGTCGCTATTTCTGCTTTCACAATTTTTAAGTGGAGGGAGTCGAGGGCTTCTCTTAGGTCAGAGAGAAGCTCAGACCGGTATTCACAGCAGACGGATGCCTTCACAGATATGGTTCCATCCCCTGCCGCAACATAGGGTTCGATTTTCACTTCATCGGCATCAACTGGGATGAGAAACCCCTTACTGGATTCTAGGGCATCCTTCTTCAGTTCTTTCACTTGGCTGATAACTGCTGCAAGTAATGTGGCTTTGTCCATCTGTAACGAACGATTAGATCAAGGTTAAGACTTAAATCTGTTGCCATCAACAGTCAACACATAGTTTGTTTCACGTTTTTAAACACCGAAATTTATTGTTACTTTCTTACAAGCAACTCCAGCTATGTCGCAGTGCTGGTCAACAGCATAAGCTGCATAACCTATCATTAAGAAAATATAAGATACGTGGATGTATACATGCATGTATACTAGCTCTGCATAACTACATGGGTGCATACATACACAAGAAATTAGATACGTGGATGTATACATGCATGTATAAAACAAAACCACCGGCAGCCATTTGTTCGCAAGTAAGATGTCTTCTTTGTCAACTGCAGAAACCCAATTAACTTAATCTTGACAAAGGCATGAACAGACACCTAGCTAGAGAGACGAATACAAGTTTTATATAATTAATTACTAATTAAGTAGCATCAGCAGAACTTGTTGATAAGTTATCAACACATAGACTTAGTCCAGAAAATGCAGAGCTAGTATTCCGACTTGTTACAACCTACAAGGCGTGGTCGACGACAAACTAAGCTAACAAATTTGCAATTAAAAATCTTTGTTTTATTAATACAGATACTATTCAGCTTCAAATTAAAAAATTTACTGGTTATTCTTTCCCCACACATCTGTTTCTTACTTACCGCCCCTAATCTGATACAACCATAATTAATTAATTAGCATAACGAAACAGTTGAGCAAGATACATCTAAGCCATAAAATATATCCAGATGCAGACCTTGTGATGGCATCTACCACACAGCTGGCACTCTACCCCATCATCCAATCATAATCATCAGTATTTCTCGAAACACAGAATTGTCTGCTATCTACTGTAACAGTTGACAGCAAAGCATCCATATATCTCCTCAGAAAATTATTAAGCAAGATGAGGTTAGCATGAAACAACGCTCAGCCTACTCAACTATAATTTTATTATAGGCGCCTTTGACTTCGTAGAATATACAACAAAGTTAGAGGTCCTCTCTCTGCCAACAACAGCCAATTTCTAATTTTTCTTACATCACAGATTCATAAGGCATAGTGTGATGTACCCAACAGGTGAAAGATTCATCCCTTCTTTACCTTCCTCTTTGTTTTTAACATTTCGATTCATTGCATATGAAAATAGTAATCATGGCTGCCGTCATGCTTAGATTCTTAATTTAATTGAAAATGCAAAAATGAAACCTAGATATCTATTGCAGATCCAATTTACAGATAGTGTTTGAAGTTCTTAGTATGGAAGATTTTATGCACACAATCATAGATTGTGATATCGATTCTACTTTTCGAATTTATAACATACCTTTGAGTTGACTTTTGAAACTTCTGCATAAAGAAATGACTCTCTGATAGCGAAAATAGTGTAACGTAAAAAATTTGTTGATTTGAATGACGTGCACTAAAGAACTCTACATGATTTCATAACGTGATAATAACAACATATGACATTTTTTAGAGCCGACAGTTCGATGCCAAAGCACGGAGTTCAGAGTATCCGAACAAGATTCCTGACAGAGAACTTCATTCGAGTTCAGAATCTATGAATTTGATAACTCTTCAACAGAAACTCTCGTAACATTACAAAATTTTGCTTAAAGATGTTTGCTTTTTGGCATAGATTAGACTGTAAAAAGCTAAAAACTATCAGCTAGCCCGTTCCATATAATTTGCTACATATTCTGATAAACCCCTTTTTGCCATACTACGATAAGAAACAACAACAAAGCCAGATCCCACACTACGTTAGAAAAACTTATCACATCAATTCAAACCAAAAGTTTCCATCTTTTCGATTTTGTGCAAACACAAATCTTTGCTCAAGTAGGCCAAATAGGTTTTAGAAGTTAATCTGAAATGAAGATGTAAAATTCATTTTTTGTTTACGGTCTAATCACGATCCTAAAAATTCAAAGAACCTAAATTTCAGATCATAAGTTATTAGTTTCCATTTTCCAATCGGTAAGAAACTGTTGTATAACTATTCGATACAGAATCGAAAATTTAAGTTAGACGACTAATATCTACTAACTACTAACCAGTAAAAGAATTAACAAGCTATAAACACAATCCAACAAATCCAAGTATTTACTAATTAAACTACTAACATAACTAAAACTGATTAGGACTAGCCAAATATAATTTGATAGAAAACTCCATGAAATTACTTTACCTTCTCAGTGCAGGGCACCAGACCGCGAAGTGTAGAGAGATGTGCATTGATTCTCTCTCTCCTCCTCCTTTCAGCCTCACTGTGATTCTTCAAAGCCAACAAAGCCTTGGCCTCAGGCAGCTCTTTTTTCCCCACTCTCGCCGGAGCCTTAACAAGCTCGCCTTTCTCACTGTCCAAAACAAGAGAGTGAGGCAGTTTCGCCGCAGCGCCGCCTCGCAAAGCCCCGCCGAACCCACTTACGTCATGCTTAAAAGGGTCGAACAAGCTCGAGAAATCCGACCCAAATGAAGATTTTGAGTTAAAACTGTAATAATCCATGTGAATCTTGTTTGTTTGTTAAATTTTTCTAAGTCTTGGGATTTGCAGAAACTATGAACCGAAGCTGGAGAAGAGCAGACCGGGAGGGCGAGTTGTTGGGGCGAACCAGAAGGAGAGCTTGGAGAGACGGAAGCTTTGTGAACAGGCTTTGTTGCTCAGCAAGGCGTTGATGATGGTGGCTGTGACGGTGGCAGTTCTTGAGGGTTTTTTCATACCTTCCATCACGCAAAAGACAAGCTTTGGGGGGTTGAAGGAGGCGGGTCAATCAGAAAACATCCACATTTTCCTCCGCATGGTCATGAAAGTCGAGGATTTTGAAAACACAGAATGAAGTTAGAGAGTTTTGGGAAGTGGGATTTATATAGAAACGTAAAAGGTGAAAGCTTTTCTGTTGCGTTTTCGATGGAGGTGGAGAACGACAAGGGCAGACAGAGAGTCAAAGGGTTGCTGGTTCACGGAGACTTTGGAAGGTGTTTTTTGGAGGAGATGAAAGGATGGGAACAAATGATTTGTGGAGTTTAAGATGGAAAGGTCGCAGAAGTATCGCCCCTATATATAAAATAACGAAAATATTATCATATTGATAGAAATATTTTTAGCATATAGTATTAAAAATGCCAAATTTGGTTTATACATTAAATTTTGTTGTCTTAAATGTCAAAATAGTTCATGTGTTATAGTTATTGGCCAATTTAGTACGCTGTTTATAATTTTATCA